GCTGTCAGGACAGTTAACTTCCTGTGCCGCTCTGACCTCTCGGGCTTGTGTGTGTGTGTGTGTGTGTGTGCGCCGTGGAGCATTCATGAGTTTGTATCGTGCTGTTTATTACACCATTCAGATTATTTATTTGGTGCACAGCTTTGTCTCTGCTGAACTTTATTCTCAGTCTCTGAAGTAATTTAATTAATAAAACACATTAGTGCATTAGGGAATTTTTAATTTGGCACATGGTTTTGGTAAAATTGTCTCCTGTGTGCAGAATGTGGCTAGACATGCCGAAACTAGTCTGAAGCAGGCATGTTATCAGAAATCCTCATTTTTAGCTCAGGCCTCTGAAAAAATCAAATAAGATAGGGACAGAATAGTTCCTTTTGGGAGTTTGTAAATAGAATAAATCTTATAAATATATTAAATATTAAAAATAAGGATTATTAACATTAACTGTTTAACATGAACATTATAAGTAATGAGCATAATTTGTTTATTAAATAATAACATCAGTTTTATTTATTAATTAATTTTGCACCTTACCCTAGATGGAAAAATAAGCATATATTTGATTTATAAGATTATTATTTATCATTCATTTGAATTTTTTCATTAAGCTGACTTCTTATCATCTATTCAGTATAATACAAATCTGAAGATAAACGCAATGAACTTAGTTGGTGAATCTCACAAAAACTGTCAAGAAATGTTTGGGTCATATTTCACAGTATAATATAATTGCAATATAATTGCTTGTTTTTTGTTTTTGTTTTTTTTTTCAGGGGTGAAATATGAGCCAGACAATTCTTTCTCAGATCCACCATTTATTGCTTGTTATTCCATCACAGACTGGACAGTGTTTGACCCAAAAGTGTGTGTATTTTGCTCCACTTGTAACACCAAACAGAATTGCAAATACCCTACTTTGGTGTTTACTTAAGGAAATGTAAGGTTTGCAAGGCTTCAAAGGCTTTTAGGTTTTAGGCATACATATTAAAACAAAGTTATGGAGTTTTTATGTTAATTGGCTCAGGCTGAAGAAAGTAGAAATGTAATTTATAGCTTTTCAGAAATTTTGAAGACCATCAATGCAGTTCTTTGCACCTTTATTCGCCCCTCAACTGAAAATGTGCCCATCTGCATTTGGTCAAAGCAGAAACTTTGTGGCTGGTTTGTCATGAACCCAGTGATTTAAGGATGGAGAGGCCTGCATTTTGGCATTCCCCATTCACTCTGTGAGACTCGGTGGCCTGAAATGCCTTTGTTTAAATGCTGACGGCATAATGTTAGTCAACATTTCCAGCCTGAAATCCTCCAGATCATTTCCTCCCTTGCTCATCCATTCCTGTGAGGTCATCTTTTGGCTTTGTTAACCAGCTGGCGCTTATGAAGATATAACTTGTTCCAAACTTCCTTTATGATTCTTATTTGCAACATTTTGTCTCTTTTATTCCTCCTCTTCCATTCACAGCAAGGATGTACTGTCGAGACAAAAGGAGGAGGGTTGTTGCTGGCAAGACAAATGCTCCGGCGGAATGTTTGGAGTCTGTTGCCAAGCAATGCGGCGGGTTTTGATTTACGATTACATCTTCCGACCGACAGCTTGTTGCAATTAGCGTTGTCGTTTGAGAGGCGAGCGAGTTAACGGGTGGGTGTGTGCGTACAATATTTCTGTTTATTTGACTGAATATGCTCCTGCATTCTCTTCACAGGATCTCCACTGATCTTTCACACCACCTGTTGTGTTTAACATCTATCTGTACCCTCTGGTTTTCATCTTTTATTTTCCTTTTTATCTATTACAGACTCTGCCTTCCTCAGAGCTGGTCACTGTATAACATGCATGGTCTTTAAGGGAATGGCGAAGACTGTAGATTAAATCCAGATATTTAGTTTTGTTTGAAGTGTTGCTCTGACTGGACCAAAGCGACGCGGTTGCTTGAGGGGCTGGTTTTAATTCTCAGAATCAGGTCAGCAATCGGCCAGCAATCACACATGAATATGTTTGTGTGGAGACTCGCATACTCTGAGATGGCTGGTTTGAGGGTCTTCTTCAGCTTAGACTTGGGGTTCCTTTTGATGAAGAGCATCACTGACCGATCATAATGTGTTTATGGTGCTAAAGCTTTGCTCACTAGGCAACACTAAAGAAAAGGCCTTTTGGTTTGACGTCAGCCAGAAATGAGACGGATTGTGTGCATCTTATATATTGGAAACTCCTGATAGGATTTAATTGATTAACAAAATTCGGTATCTTGTATCAATACCAAATTGTTAACAATTGTTGAATAAAGTCATTATTTTTGTTTTTTTTGTGCTCAAAAAGTATTCTCGTAGCTTCATAAATGTAGTTGTCATTGCTGCCGTTTGATCGGTTTATAACAGAGATTTCTGTGCTGAATTTGAATGCATCTCACTAGATCTCGCAGCTATCTTTATTCATTCTTCGCCAAATTAAAATGCTTCTCACTGGATCTCGCACCACTGTGTTGTAACAGTGTCGCGAAATCAGCTTTGGTTCACTAGTAAAGCTGTTCTGAGTTCGGACAAGTTTGTTTGCGTTACGATCCGAGCTGATAAACGGTCCGCGCTGCGCAGCTCAAACGAGTAGTGGGATTTTGTTACGCTTTTGATTTGTTTGCCGTTTGCTGTTTCTCATATGCAATCGAAATGGCAGCGCTTACGATTTGAACAATGCAGTGGTCGCACCAGTGCAACTGCTCACAAAATTTTGTCATACCGGCAGAAAAAATGGTGACAAAATGTGACCATTTGGTCGCAGTCTGGAGCCCTGAATTCATTACAGAATTTTCATAAACATGCTTAATTTTGGTAAATTTCACAGAAAACGAGCTCTTACGTCAAGAAAACTTATGTCATTTTGCTTCTCAAGTGATTACTCAAGTATTTTGATATAAGAATCTTAATATTTTGAACCCCATTAACTTCATTGTATGGATAAAAAAAATATTATTACTGAAGAAAGTAATTCATACAGGTTTGCAACAACATACGAGTGAATAAATAATTAGACTATTAATTTTCGGGCATCTGCCCCTTTAAGAAATTGAATGAATTTCACAAATCATGCTGTCTGACCTGCTGAACTTTGCAGAATAGGAGCAGATTGTGCTGATATTTGTAAAATGATATTGTACTGTGGTAAACTTTTGGTACTGTGGCACTGCTGTACACTCCTGCAGATGATTGATGTGTTGTTGATGTGGGAATCCAGAGAAGATCCTACCAGATGATCTGAATTCCATCATCTCCCCACAGAACACATTGATTTGCCTCTGTCGCCACATGTTAGAGGCCGCGTGCGACTGCGCTGCGTGTTCGCGTGTGTATGCGTTATGTGGATTCAGATGGTGCGGGCACAGCTGTCTGGGTGTAACAAGACACACAGGTTGTCCTCATGTGGCCTTTGTTGTTTCTTTGGCATCTTTTTGCACTCGTCTCGTCTCTCCGTCTTTTGCACTCATTTCACACACACGCACACCCTCTTTCAAACATAATTAAGCTTTTGTTCGGCAAATGGAAAGAGGAAAAAAATGATGACAGACTGAGCGACGGAAGGTAGGCTAACAGAAAGGAAGAGAAGGAGGTAAGGAGGAGAACAGTCAGAGTATTTGTGGTAAATGCCCATGTTGTTCCTATTTTAAAGCCCTATGGGCCTAATGGCTGCGCAGACCGGAGCTCTTGCCGCTCGGCTGTTGTTCTGTGCACCATCAAATCAGTCTGACTTTAGTTGTTTTTTTTCTGTAGTCTGCTGTGACTCCATTGTTCCTGACCCATTTTAGACTTTTCATTCTTTAAATCAGGGTTTTGTTCTTTGCAGTACATTTTTTTGCTCTTTCCTTAGATGAAAGTTACACCGTGATCATCCAAAAGAGCCATCGCTCCCCTCAAACCTAGACACACACATAAATCAGTTGTGAACTTGTGCCGAATTCACACTGCACAAATTTCAAAGTCGTCAGATCACTGTTGTTTTCACACAATGGCGACAGGTCTAGATATTTAGCATGCAAAATATTTCACGGGCATTGGCGACAGATCACGTCTTTGATAGTTCACACTGCGTGATTGTCACTCATGTGAGGGAGCACCGATTTGCCTCCGATTTCGGGCATTTGTTGGCAATTTGTTGGCGAGTGAAAATCTGGGCTAAAATCGTGCAGTGTGAACTCGGCATTAAGGTTAGACTCATGAAACAGTGAAATGAAAATAGTATAAATATACATTATGTAGTGCTACTTCGTTAATTATAAAACATATATGATCTGTGTTGTAATTTGTAGTAATAGCCAGTTATTTTAGTAGAATTTTATTTATTTATTTATTATTATACATAATGTTGGATTATAGTTAAAGACAAAACAAATAAAAATTGTATTTCAGGAAAAAACTATTGGCCAATTAGTTCAGCAGAATTTTATTTAATTTACTTGTATTTTAAAACATTATTTTGTACTATAGTTAAATACAGAACAAATTAAATGCACATAGTGATTTGCATTCCAGAAAACAACTGGCCACTACAGTTTAGTAGAATATATATTTTTTTTTAATTTATTTCATGTTTTATTTTTCATTTCTTTAGTTTTTGGTTTTTCTCTAGTCTACTCTGACTGCATTGTTCCTGACCCATTTTTAGACTTTTATTTTAGAAATCCGTGTTTTTGCAGCAAGTCAAATGTTAGGGCTAATTTTAGCCTCCCTCCAGCACAATAAAACTTCATTTCATTTGCTCGATTTACAGCACAACATATTACACCAGCTAACCAGTGTTGTATCCGTCTCCTCCTCAGACGTCTATACTAAAGGGAATTGACTTTTCTCGTTTGGAATTAGGAGCTGTGCTAAGAGACCTTGGTGTCTGATTGATCGGAGCTTGAACAGGATAAAAACGGATTTGTCAGTTGAGATGGTTCAAGACCTCAAGAGCACTTTTCTGCAGCTGCTCAAGTGTCCTGACTAACGATGTGTGCATTTCTCTCTCATAGGGCTGGTGTATGGCAGTCAGGTGGTTGTCCCGCCAAAGGTGAACGCCGTGTTGGGAAAGAACGTCACCCTCAGCTGCAGGGTGCAGGTGGACTCAAACCTCAGCCTGACGCAGAGCTCATGGGAGAGGAAGCTGCCCACTGGATGGGTGACTCTGGCAGTGTATAACCCAATGTTTGGCATCTCCATCCCGCCCGAATATGAGCGACGGCTGTCCTTTCGCTCGCCCTCCATGCACGACGCCACCATCGTGCTAGAAGACGTGGGTTTCGCTGACATCGGCATATACACCTGCAAGGTTGCCACCTTTCCGCTTGGTAACACTCAGGCCTCCATCACTGTCAGCGTGATAGGTAACAAGAGACGCCGTGTGTGTGTGCGTGCGTTTTTGCAGTCTGATTAATTTAGATTATGCACTCATAGCGTGGTGCTTGTGTATTAATGCGAAAGTGCCGTGACGAACCTTTCGCATGCGTGTGGTCGACAAAGAAAGAAAGGCGTGCGAGTGGATGCACATCACAGCTGCCGAATAAAGCGCTGCTTATTTGTGTAAGTAGGCAAGTATGCGGTGTGTGTGCAAGAGGGTGGAAAAACATTTAAGAGCAACTTCAGGGTAGGAATGAAAGCAGTGTTTTGGGAGACGGTCCAGCTCATTTAGAGAACATGATGTTTAAACTTTCTTCCTCCACCAAACCCCCAGAGCCATCTGCTCTGCTAAACAACGATACAGCCGAACGAAGCGGTGTGCTCTTGTTATCTGGGTGTACAAGAGACAACAAGAGAAGTTTACAAGCACAGTGTGTTGTGTTAGGTAAATCAATTATGTATCGCTCTATGGAGGCGTGAGGATAGTCGCTGTTTCCTCTGTGAGCTCAAGATGAAGGTTACACAGGGAACATCCTCTGTGTCATCAGTGGCTTCAAGAATAGACTTTAGCAACTTTATTTTCAACAGAAATCAGTTGGTATAAAAAGTAACCCTGCACTGGTTGTTTTATGACAACAACATTTCTAAATTAATGTTAGTATTGCTACAACAATGTATAATTTATACAGTACTAGTTATTTAAATACCAAATTACCAGAAAGGTTTCTATTTCGCGTGGCAAAGTTCAATTTCTGTATTTAATATATGAATTAGTAATATAACATTTAAATAACTATTGAATAAAGTATATGTTATTGTAGCTATTATTATTATTATTATTATTATTACTTTTACATCATATATAGCAGTTATGGGTGGGTATGTTTTTTTTTGCATATTGAAATACATATATTTAATATTTCTGTATTTTATACATAAATTAGTATTCTAACATTAAAGTAACTGTTGAATAAAGTATATGTTGTTCTAGCTATTATTATGATTATATTACTACTACTACTACTACTACATAATATATAGCAATGGTGTGTGTGTGTGTGTGTATATATATATATATATACACACAGTGTGTGTGTGTATACGCATACACACGCATGCATACATATATAAAATTACACATACAGTACCTATACACACACACACACACATATATTTGTGTGTGTATGTACTGTATGTGTAATTTTTACTTGTAAATGTGCAGGGAAGACAGAACATCATGCTCTTTGAATGCTGTTGGGCCATAATTGTAAACCATTACTAAACCGTAAATTGTCAGATGAAGTGATCTAGTTTTGACGTGTGCCACACACATACCGTGTAGATGCTGTGTTAGAGTAATAAATGGCATGCAGACACGAGTTGAGTGAAGGCTCAGAAAGAGATGAATTGAAAAAGATGATGTCATCGATAAAATGAGCTGTGCAATTGGAGGAAAATCGGAACGTGAACGAGAGCAGAGACGAACAGGGACTGAGAGCTTTAATAAAAGGAGAGATGGAGGGGGGCGGGATGCAGGAGGATGGAAAGTGGTGGTGAAGTGAGAGAGCAGGAACGAGGGAGGGGAAACATGCGCCGGAGCTATAATTAGATCAGGAGGAATGTTCAGGGTGTGTGTGTGTGTGTGTGTGTGTGTGAG